GAGGTGGTGGTAGTGGTCGTGGCGACAGTGCAGAGGTTGTGGTGGTGGATATAGCGATTTTGGTTTTCTGTAACTAAAAATTAATTCGTGACCCTAAAATTCGTTAATATGTGGCTAAAAATATAATCCGTGACCAACTATTTTGTTATCTGTGACCTAAAAATTATATAATCTGTGACCAACTAATTTGAAAATCTGTGATCGTGTGACTTATAAATTTTGATTTGCGACTAACTAATTTTGAAATATGTGACCAACGAATTAACTGTGACCTACAAAATTTTTGAACCGTGACCGTGTGACCTATAAATTTTGATTTGTGACCAACTAATTTTGAAATATGTGACCAACGAATTAACCGTAACCTACAAAATTTTTGATATGTGACCGATAAAAAAATTGTGACCTAAAAATTTTAGATTTGTGACCTTGAAGTAATCTGTGACCTATAAAATTTTTGATCTGTGACTGGAGAACAGTTGTCGGAGTGGTCGTCGGTCACCGGAGTAGTTGCCGGAGCAGTAGGGGAGGTGAGGTGGGGTAGAGGTGGGTTAATTATATTATATTACAGTTAAATATTTATTTTAATATAATAATTGTGAAATATAAGTAATTAATTCATGAAAAACCTGATTTTTACAATTCTAAATTTTGGGGCCTGATTTTTTATTGTGGGATAAATAAAGCCTGAGTTGTGAATTTTTACCTAATAATTACTATTGTAGCCTACCAAATCTTGGAAGAAAAGGAAATTACAAACCACTGAAAAAAGATAGTTACCAAAATTACTAAATAAAATTCGGGCCCTTAAGATAATTATTTCATATTAATTACTCTTTATACTTTTGGGTCAACCAAACATGTTCCCACCCCACCCCCAACCACACCCTACTTCTCTATACTATACTAATTTACTGTATATATACACCTATGCAAGCAACCCAACCTTACAATTAAAAATTAAGCGAAGATGGACATTGAAGAAATTTCTTTCAATACACCAGACTCAGACCTAGATTTCAGCTTTACCAGCTGCGCCTCCGCCTCCACTACCACCACCACCACCGATCGTACTCTTAGCGCTCGTAGTAGCTTAGCACGCAGTAGCCTGACTCTCAGCTTCAATGACCGCAATTCCACAACCTCCACAACCACCCCTTCCACCGTCATCCCCAGCCTCCACCACCGCTCTCACTCCCGCC